TCCCCGCCCCTTTAAAAGCATTTCCCCGCCCCTTTAAAAGCGTTGCCCCCGGCAGCATCCATTAGTCCTGGTGAGCAGGCTCATTAGTCCACGGCGTGTTTCAGCAGGCCGCCATCTGTGTGCAGACGCAGGGCGCTGCCTGGCAGTCCACGCTCAGCTGATGTTAAACAGGCCCTGACCTCTGACCCCTGACCCCACAGGCCCCCCCTCAGCCCCCCGCCACCCGGTCTACCAGCTCAACGACACCACAGTGACCCTGGAGTGGATGGAGCCCGTGGAGCGAGGAGGACGGGCGGACCTGAGCTACCAGCTGCTTTGCTCTGACTGCGGAGCCGCCGGCGCCGCTAAGGTAGGCCCGCTGGACCGGAACCGCCGCGCTGAGCGTCCTGCAGGCTGATTGACACGCTGCTCCCTCTGGTCTCCTCCTCCTCAGCCATCCTGCTCCCCCTGCGGGGACAGCATCCTGTTCCGCCCCGCCCAGTCCGGCCTCACACAGACCCGGGTCCTGATCTTTGGACTCCGCCCACAAACCAGGTACCTGTTCACCATCCAGGCACTGAACGCCGTGTCTGCCTTCAGCCAATCAGAGCCCGCCTCCATCATGATCAACATGACCACCAGCAGAGACGGTAACGCCTCATTACCCACGATGCCTGCTCAGAGAGACGGATGCTGACCGCTGATTGGCTGCTGCTGTCTGTAGTCCCGCCCCCTGTCTCAGGTGTCCAGAGGACGGCGGCGTCAGAGGACAGCCTGTCCATGAGGTGGGACCCTCCGGTGGTCCAGAACGGACAGCAGGTCCAGGAGTACCAGCTGCGTTACAGACGGGCCGACAGAGACGCTCCCTGGGAGTACCTGCGCAGCGGCGCCCCCTCTCTGGTTCTGACGGGTCTGCAGCGGGCCACCCGGTACCAGGTCCAGGTCAGGGCCCAGTCCCAGGCGGGCTACGGGTCCTTCAGCGCCGTCAGCAGCTTCAGCACGCTGCCCGATGGTACCGCCCCCCTCTGACCCGCAGGACGCCGCCACCCCTCGCCGCTCTCCGTTTAAACGCTTCTGTTCTGTTCAGGTGCCGCCCACGCCCAGCTGGTGGTCACTGCCGTCCTCGTCTCCGTGGCGATGGTGATGCTGATCGCCGCGGTAACAGCCGGATTCATCTGCTACCGGTAAGAGAGAGAGAGGATGGTCCCTCCCTGCTGGTGCCCGAGAACAATGGAGGTCATGACCCCCAGAGAGGGGGGGGGGACAGAGCCGTCCTGATAGAGACAGAAATAGACAGTCAGGGTGGGACGTCTCCCTGCAGGAAGCAGAAACTGGACCCTTTGTCTCTCAGCTCCTCTGTCTGTCCCTCTGTCTCCTGTTGTCCTCCAGCCACTCAGCTCCTTCCTGTCTCTCCATCTGTACCTCTTTCTGTCCCTCTGTCTCTGTCTGTCCCACTGTCTGTCTCTCTCCATCTTTCTCTCTGTCTCTGTCTGTCCCTCTCTCTCTGTCTCTGTCTGTCCCACTGTCTGTCTCTCTCCATCTTTCTCTCTGTCTCCTGTTGTCCTCCAGCCACTCAGCTCCTTCCTGTCTCTCCATCTGTACCTCTGTCTCTCTCTGTCTCTTTCTGTCCCTCTGTCTGTGTCTCTCCATCTTTCTCTCTGCCTCTGTCTGTCTCTCTCCATCTCTGTCTCTGTCTGTCCCTCTGTCTCTTGTCCTCCAGCCACTCAGCTCCTTCCTGTCTCTCTGTCTGTCCCTCAGGAAGAGGCGGCGTCCAGCGCGGACGGAGCAGATGGGACACTACCAGATGGGACAGAGTGAGTGTCTCAGCCAATCAGAGCTGGTCATTGTTTGAGCGTTTTGGTGGTCAGCTGATTGACTCCTGCTGCTGTCGTCATAGCGATGAAGGTCTACATCGACCCGTTTACCTACGAGGATCCCAACCAGGCGGTCCGAGAGTTCGCCAAGGAGATAGACGCCTCCTTCGTGAAGATCGAGGAGGTGATCGGAGCAGGTGGGTCATCTGGAAGGTTCTCTGAGAACCGCCTTCAGGAGGAACGTAGAGCTAGAACCACTAGAAATCAATCAGGGACAGAACCTGTTTATACTGATCTATGGGGATGGAGGGATCTGT